TAGAAGGCAATCAGGTTGGTCTGACATGATCTCCCCCTAATAAATCCATGCTGATTGCCCCTGAGCATCATTTCTGATGCCGGCCCATCACAAATGTGCTCCTTGATGATCTTCTCAAAGAGTTTCCCCAGGATTGGAATTCACTCTTAAAGGTGAATTTCTTGTTATGAACAGATCTTAATCTTGACCCAACACACTGATGGAAGAACACATTGCCTGAACCATAAATTCTAATGAACCACTTTATATGATGTGTATTTATTGTTCCACACAGAATTGCATGAGTGCTGAAATATCTTCTTAAAAACTAATGATATATAATATGTAATACTGATATCAGTAGTAAATAAGTGACTATTACCAGTACTGCTACAATAGTATTAAGTAACACTGGATATTTGTGTTTACAGTTTGGGCAAACTGGATGCTTCTAAAAGGGGAAGGGCTATTAACACTGGTTAAAAGTGCACACAGCGCAGTTTTGTTGGTTGGCAAGTTCAATCTACATTCTGAAACCAATTTTCCATTGCCTTGGCCCCTTGTACAGTCATTTATCCATTTGCAGAGGGAAAGGAAAAAGCTACCAAACCAAAATGGTAGTATTTTCCATGTAACTTTGCACTTACTCCAATGCGTAGATGACAGTCATTAAAAAGCCAAATGCATGCAACTTTAAACACAGAGTGAACGATAACAAAATGTCAAAAGACAAGGGTTTCTTTCTTCCTTTATTTTTTTTGCATGCCTCACTGCTTATAACAATAACTTTACCAGAGGCATTTTCTGGTTTGGTATAAGGAAAAAAATCTGCTGCAACAGAAGGGCTACATTAATAGTGATAAATATTAATAAATAAGAGCTAAAACAAAGCAGAAGTGGCAATGGGCCTATCTTTGCATTTTGTATAACTTTTTATAGTGTTTTCTGAGTTCCTGTAAAAGCAAGCTTACTGATTACTGTTGCAATAAACTTGTTACTACAACTATGTACTTTCCCCCCCAAATCTGTGATTTCCAGCCTTTAAAGTACAGTCCTATCTTTTTCAGGTTTAAATTATTCAGAAAAACTCATTCTAGGACATATGAAGTTACCTGAGGAACAAAATAAGTAATAGATGGGGGAGGGAGGGGAGATCTATCCCTTCAATAGCAAAAAAGATAAGTGCTAATTTCATTTTGGAGCTGCAGAAGGATGGGAACCTAGGAACCTTCCTGGATGAATGAAGAGAAGCGAAGAAACCATAAAATATGAAAGGCTTAACAGCAATAGTATTTAAAACGTTTAAAAAATAAACTAGACAATTTTCTCACTAGAAAAATATCTGTAATAGATCTGAAGCTGCTCTGTAAAAACTTACAAATATTATGTGTTATATC